AATTTCGGTAGAAGTCGACCCCCCTTAGAGCTCATGTTCTTCTAATAAGTCACATCTAGCTCTACGATATTCCTTATCAATTTTCTTGGAGCATTGCTTAATTCCAGGATACCTTTACCTTTACGTGTACGTCCATGCGGGATTTGTTATAGAACAGAATTAGCCCTCATTTTTAAAAACTGAATCCTTTTTCCTCATAAAATACATTTGAGTTTTCTGCGTGGTTCTCGGAATAAACAGTGATTATTTCCCTAAACGTCATTAACTGGCGGATTTAACGGAACTGCAGATTACTCTGAATAAGTTAGCAACTGAGTCTTCAAAATTTATTTAGGTGAATTAAAATTCTCTTGTTTGACTATTCGGTATAGCGACTAGGCTACGAGCTGTATGACCAGAGAATTGGGGGTTGATTCCAGTTAGGGGTAGGAAAATTTTCTTCTTTCCATATTTTTCAATGAATCCGGGGACAATATCCCCGGCAGGGGCATAAAGCTAACCACTCGCCTCTGTCTAGTGCCGAGGTCAAGAATGGCGGAGCTATACCTCCACACCCCCATACGTCTTCATTGGCGTGGTGCTCAATATATGAAGCCCAGGGATAAAGATCCCTTTACCTACGATAGAATTAAATGGTCATCAACTCTGCGGATTTTAAGAATTAGGCATATCTCGTACCATTCTGTAAATTTCTTCAGTACCTGCTTTCAAATATTTAACAAGAAAATTGACCTGTACACAGTCTACTTAATTATTTTATAATATAAATGGGGAAAAAATTAATAAATAATCACATAACTGAAAAAGTAAATAGTTTTAATTTCATTCATGTTTCAGTGGCTCTACAGCCATTTATTGGACCCTGGTCTCTTCTTCAGTTTCGTAATCATTTTTTTACACAGACAGTAGGACTCCTTGGACGAGTGATCAGCCAGTCGCAAGGCCGCTACCTACACACAGGACAATACAAACACAGAATAAACGCACGCACAGACATCCATTCCTTGAGTGGGATTCGAACCCACGATCCAAGCGAGCGAAGACAGTGATAGCTTTAATTACTTTGAGTATATATTTACAATATTAAACAGATTTTTAAAATAAAAACAAACAGATTTATCGAAATGTTCAGCTTAATAAAAAGAACACTGCATTAGGAAACAACAAAACAGATAAAATTTTATAAAGCAACGGCGGTACTTTTACTCACACATAGCGGCCTCCGTAGTCTAGAGCTAACGTTCCCACCTCATGACTCGTGGTACGCGGGTTCAAACCCGGCGGAGGTCGTGGAATTTTTAAGGGCGGAAAAATTCAGGGAACAAGTCCTCCGGGAGGGACTTTAAGCCATGGGTCCCGTGTCTTAGCTTTACGGCACGTAAAAGAACCTCATATCTCCAAAGGAGGTCACTGAGCCAAATTCAGGACGTTTCCCGCCCAACAGTAGTCTCTAACGCCTCTGATAGATGGGGGAAGCATTATAGATACCGACAAGCCAGTAGAGGCCGAACTCGCTGGCTCGGTCGGGACTGATGTTACGCACCAATATCGGTAGGGTATAGAGACTGGTAGAATATCATAGAGGGAAGCACAATGGACCAATACAGGTCTAAGTGCATGGGGAAACCCACCCCCTCCAATAACTAACTAACTATACTCACATATGAATCCGAAATTTGGACCAAAACAGAAGCAAAAGTTGAAAACGCAGAAATCAACTTTGAGGGGGTTATACATGGAAAGACCAAATACGAACCGCTAGAGCTACGGAAGAACTGAATATTTTTAATCTAAATAATAAAATTATAAAATAAAGATGACAGTGGAATCATCTCGTGATAGGAACGGTATATAGACTTATTCGAAAGAGACTTTTAGCGTGCATCCTCATAAAATGACGAAACATAGTTCCCTCATAGTTAGGATGTAGAGATCAACTTACTCCTCAAGATGAAGAAACAGACGAAACATGGCCTAATCCACGAAGATGATGATGATAAATCATTTCTCTAAAGATACTTCCTCAAAATCGTACTACAGTCACTTTAGCAAATAAATTGTTTCATGGGAAACATTTGTTTGTGTTTATTAATCACAAATCATACAAAATCATATTTACCTGCCTGCAATATTTAATTAGTTTTCAACATAATACTGAAAACATTTCCTGCAGTTATCCTATTGTTATTTTCAATTTTATAAAAATGGCTTTAACATCTACATAATTTTAATGGACCTATTATCATTGAAATGTTGAGGGTTCTACTGTTAATGACGTAACAAACAGGAAAATGGCAGCTTTTACGACTTCGTTTAGGCTTTTAATTATTTGGAGTTACAGACATAGATTTATAAATCTGTAACCATTAGAAACACAGACCTAAGGCTGAAACTCCATGGGGCAGAAGTCGATTCGTGTCCTAGGAGTCAATAAATTTGTCTCCGTTTATGGAGGTCGATGCTATATTACCGTGCCCGTAAGAGCCAGCCGCTGATCAATATCTCAAGTCATATAAAACCTATCCCTTTAACACTTTCCTTAATATGTTCCTCGTATCTATACCTAGGTCTTCCAAATGGTGTCCCTTGAGATTACAGAGCCCTAAGGGAATAGGTAAGGAATGGAATGTAGTATTTTGACTTGCTGTGTTTATGTACGGGTAGAGAGGCCTTGCGAAGATTTGATCACCCGCCCAAGGAGTCCTACCGAATATCTAAGATCTAGTAAACGGAAGTGAAACGGAGAGTTTCGTGGAGGTAGGCCAAGACCCAAACTGGGGCCGTAGGGCCAAAGGGAAAAATAAAATCGCTGTAGTAAGAAAACTCTTGTAAGAACCGAACTTGACGTCAAAAAAAGAAGATTAAAATAGGTCTTGGGAAATATGTTGTGAGGAATTTAATTGGGGTTAACTGGCTCTCAGTTATTTAATGGCGGACTTTGGTGACGTACGTGAGATCTTGTTAAAGACATACGAGTATTTAGTTTGCATGATATTAATCATGAAATCAGCCATTTAAATAAAATAATTTTTTCGTAAAATGGCAGTTAATTTCTCAATAACACTTAGAATAACAATTCAGTAAGAATCGTCTTCTAGGATGTGGCGCCGTGTAGACATATTATAAACCGACGTTTCGGAGAATCGTATTGCCTCCATCTTCAGGGTAGAAAAAATCCGCTAGTTCCTCGCTCACGGATTTTCCTTTCTTTTTTTTTTTTTCTTCTACCATGCAGATTGAAGCGAAACGTTACTCTGAAAGGTCGGTTTATACTATAGCTATACGACGCCACATCCGAGAAAACGGTATGCTTCATAGTCACCGTTGTGAAAACTTCAAATCTTGCAACAATTCAGTAAGTTTCACCTTAAGGTTATCACAAGCTTTGAAGTTGTCTCAACACAGTAAGCTTTCTGGAAGCAAGGATCTGGACTCGTATTTGAGAAGTCCTCGATTTGAATCTCAACAAGGACACTGAATATCGTGATTGAGGTTCTTCGTGGCTTTCCTCAGTCCCTCTAGGAAAATTTTTTAAGATAGAACCTGGGTCAGACTACAAGCGTTTCCTTCCAAATCCTTTCCTATTAATCATTCATCAGCCATTCTACCACCCGATGCTATAGAATTTCGACATTGAAAGAGTCGTTAAGTATTTTTCTATTGTTAGTGGGGTGGGACTAAGTCCCTTGTACTGCGGTCACTTCTGGCCTATTGTACCAGCCCCAGATGATAGGTGAGGGTGATTGTGGAGCAATTGGTGGAATGAAGATTGGCAAGGGACACCGAAGTACTCGGGGAAAACCTGCCCCAACACCACTTTGTCCACCACAAATCCCACTTGAGCAGACCCGGGATCGGGAAGGCAGCGACTAACCGCTTGAGCTATGGCGCGGGCCTTGAGTCGTTAAGTAACTCACACAAAACAAGGAGTCCTATCCTTGGTTTCCGATCATTGCATCATCGTGTTACCATACAAGTAAATCAGTAGATTAGTCCACACCTTTATAAGCTGATAGTCTCTAATTTGGTCCTGAAATTCCAGCCACATAAGTCCAGTCCGCATTCTCCCAATATCTTTCAGTAAGATTCGTTTTAATATTATGACCCCATCTGAGTATAAATTATCTCTTCCGTACATATTTTCCGGTGACTCATCTACTATTCATGTTTCATGTCCCCTCCCCCCATTTAATTTTCATTAATCTAGTATTACGTAATGTGTGGATCTATACAGTCACTCCTCCATACGCCTTCACCCTGTAGTGCTTATTGGTTAAGCACAGGGCAAACTTTAGCTGTTACTACGTGACGAGTACTTGTGCTGACTCTACCTCATTTATTGCTTCATTTCTCATAAGTCCTGCTACCGTTCAGTTCAGAAAATTTTGTCTCCTCGTCTGCTGTCTGAAAACATAAACATTAGAATATACGAAACCATAGATTTGCCTGTGGTTCTGTATGGGTGTGAAGCCTGGTCTGTCTGACTTTAAGGGAGGAACATAGACTGGAAGAGAGATGAAGTGACAGGAGGTTGGAGAAAATTGCATAATGAGGAGCTTCATAACTTGTGTTCTTATCCAAGTATAATTAGAATGATGAAGTCAAGCAGGATGAGATGGGCAGGGTATGTAGCATGAATCGGGGAGAGGAGGAATGCAAATAGGATATTTGTGGGAAATCCAGAAGGAAAGAGACCACTTGGAAGACCGAGACGTAGGTGGGTGGACATTATTAAAATGGATCTTAGAGAGATAGGGTGGGATGGTATGGTTTGGATTAATCTGGTTCAGGATATGAACCAGTGGAGAGATCTTGTGAACACGGTAATAAATCTTCGGGTTCCATAAAATGCTGGGAAATTCTTGATTAGCTGCAAAATTGGCTCAGCTCCATGAATAAGTTTCTGATAGGTCCAAATGCATTCTGTTCTCAGGTACCTTGAATCTGTTTTAGGGCGTTTCGTAAACGCTTTTAATTCATCGTCTGTAATTTTGTTTCAGACATACTGAGGTGGGCGAACAGGTGAATTTCTGAATCTAATGGAAGATATTGCCATGATCCAAGAAATATCATATATCCAGGGTGCCACCGCTAATCAGAGTATCTGCAGGATGGAGACAATTTACGAGTACCTAAACATAGACGGGAGGGTTGTACTTAAATAGGTAATAAAAATTCGATTTGAATTTATGAACTTGATTATATTTTTAGCATACATTTCCTGTTTAAAAAAAAATGAAAGTATGTTTATGAGATCACCATGCTATCTGTGTATCTGTGTCTGCTTATCCAACTTTTGAATTTCTNTCCCTTCCAACAGTCTGTGTGTCTATACGTGTTTCCGTGAATACACACGCAACAATAGGAGGTCGTTGGACATGCATTTTTATGCGGCCCTTGCTTATTAATTAATTAATTGATTAGCTTTCCCAAAATTTTTTGTTTTAAGGTAGGGTCATTTGAAGGGCTCTTTTGAAAACAGTAGTGAAATTTCACATTACATAAGTTGGTGGTAATTTTAAACAAAAAGCAACTTTCAGCTTATCAACAAAGACCCAGTTCCACTGAATGAGTTAGCTAGCTTAGTTAGTTTGTCTGTAAGTGAGGTATTTTTGGCTGGTTGCTTAAGTATTCAGTCACCTCTTCCATTTGATGCTCAATTTTATGTCAAGATAATTTGTTAATTAATTAGTTATTTACTTTTTGTGACGATCTGTTGTCTTAAGTGCACATAGCTGCAATATATCTTCAAAATGACAACAATTATTTTTCTTTTTCTTACATACTTTCATAATTCGGACAAAAAAATGCACATCATGTAAACAATTTGTCTGTGATTCTCAGAGAGAGATATTTTTGTGGATATAGAGGCCTACATGCTGATAAACTAATAGACGCCTTGGCTTCGTTAAGGTTTCAGCCTAAACTGGACAAATTAAATCACTGATAAAATCTGACCGCCCACAATTCACCCGGCGTTTAACGCGCACCTCCCATACAATAATGAAATGCGAGTCAGTTCTAAGTTTACGCGAGTGTTCATACATATATGTATTATCATTATTTTATATTNCCCCCCCCCCCCAGTCTTGTGCTGACATATACAACAAACATCCAGTAAACTAGCAAACGTTGGTATCAAAATTCCCACCATGTTGGCACCTACTAGAATCTAAACATCTTCTCTAAGACACTCCCCTCACTTCTCTCCCACCTCGTCCTTTCTATCTCCTGCATAATCCTTCCTTCTTTAGCCTCCCATCCTCTCAGCACCTCCTCCGAGCAACCACTACTGCCACCCCCTTGTTGAATAACGGCACTTTAAATTGTATGAAAGTTGCATGAGCAAACGTCTGGATATATGTGCTATGCCTTGCATGCTGTTGGAAGACTATATACACTTCCCTGGAATATACCAAGCTGGTTAGTTTACAAATGAATACAGCGATTGAAGCAACTTATAATATCAATGTAGTATTCCCATCTCTCTCGCACTTGATATAAGGATCAATGTTGCTATCTCCCTCTATCACTGCTGGCTCCAAACCAAAACCTCTCCCTCCTACCTCTTTATACTATAGAAAGCCTCGACTGCTTCCCCATACAGAATGGCCATATTAACTTGATAATTAGCTCTGTTATAGGACTTGCAGATGAGTAGAGGAGACTTGCCTGCCTGCCTGCCACTGCTTGCAGCCTGATGGAAAAAAAAAAGGTTTCCCTCCTTCCTCTTTTACCCCCTCCCCCTTCTCTACTCGGGTTCCTCCAGCTTGTGACTTACATATAAAATTGGGATGGGACGTTGGTGATGGTTGCATTCTTGCTCCAGACAACGTCAAGTGAAGATCTCTGCTGTGAGTTGGACAACAGGACCTCCGCATGCTGTTCTTCAGTTCCAGCAACTCCTCAAGAAGAAGGAGAGACCACCAGTCTGCAGCCTCCACTTCTGTGGCGTTCCTGACCTTCGAGGGCACGAGGGCGCTGTCCAACTCTGGTTCAGCTCAGCGGCGCCTGGGCTTAACACGCAGTGATACGCGATGGTTCAACATCTCTGAGTGCTGTTCAGGAAGGACAAATGTCACCGGATTATCCGCTCCTCGACCTTTCCAGAGTCTTCCCAGGATCGTACCCAACTTATCTGTCCGAATAACACGTTCTGATCCTGGTTTATCTCAAGGACACTTGTCACTTCCCTGGTCTCTGAGGTTTTCTACAAGTTCTGTATCATCGTTGTTGTTTTTCAACTGAAGGTCTGTCCCAAGGTCCCTTCATCAAGTCTTCGTTAATGCCCATCAGCACTTCAGCGACGTCCATAAGATCTGATTCTCCCGGGTACTTACGGGATGGGGTACAAGATTGAAGATACTTCCTAGTGGAGAAAAAGGAGACTTATTTTTTCATTACATGACTGCAACTTTTCTGCTCCTGCGAGAATTACCCAATTGTTTTATCAGTTCCACGTCACCACGATTGTTTCTTTTATTTCTAGAGGTGGTACCACGTCCTGCCTTGTATTTTGGATTAACACAGTAATAAGAGATTGATTTCTTCAGCCATGTTTACAATTTCCTTTCATCTCTCAGCATTTTTAACGTTTTCTGAGTGCTGAGAAGACTTTACGTTTCATCTACACGTCACGTGTTAATTCGAAGAATTCATTTTCATATTATAACTTCATAGATTTCTTTCCCTGACCTCCAGAATTCAGCACACAATATATCCTGTCTTTGATATCAATGTGGTTGTGAAACGGTTCTTTATTTTTTCAGTATTTTAGGCACAATACGTAAGCTTTGAATGAAATCATTTCTCAGTGTAAAATGTCTTCAATTCAAATATATTTCACATACTTAAAATATGAATCTACCATTATAGGAAAGTGGCTTTAAGAATTCTTCTAGCAGTTACACTAAACCGATATACCAAAATTATATTTCAAATTATTTGTAATTTCATCGACCCTAAAGATAGAGGCAACATGTTCCTTCAAAAATCCTTAAATTTTGCCAGACTTCACGATGTCACATCACAGAAGATAGTACTTTTTAATACATTCAAATTCCTTAGTCAGTAGTGACAATGGTTTTACCCGTGGTTCAATACAAGGATGAAATTCTTAGCATTATAACGAAATATGTTTACAAGATGTGGTGAAATCAGTTTTTTCAGAATAGTTAAAATCTCATAAAACTTCATAGTCCTACTATGACGCATTCCTTCAGTCTCCAAAATTGGATTGCCATTGCAGAATGTCCATCTACATGGGATGTTCCCAAGACGTCATGAAAATATTGTCAAAGTCAGTGTAAACAAGCGTGGAACAAGTTTTAAACTTCTACAATGAACGTACCATCGATTACAATAGTCCACAGACCATGAAGTCCAAGAAGGTCATGGCTATAGAAACTAGTTTGTTCCAAGCTATTTTCTAGCTGCTTGTACGTCGATCATAACTTTAGACATAAAACATTCTTTTACGCTAGTTCTGTTCGTTAGAGGTCGGAATGGCATTCTTTACGACCATCGTTATGATAGAGATCAGGGAAAACTCTTCTCTTCTTGCCACAAAATATTAGTCACACATATTAACCTTAATGTAAAATTCATTTCAAGTGTTCAGATGTTCTTGTAATTGCAGTTCAGAGCTTGGCATCACTGAACAGCTGCTTTCTTTCACGAATAATATTTCCAGAATTTCTTTAGCTGCCACTCTTTTTCTCCTCTGTTGTTTACACCTTCTGTTGACGAACGTCTTATATTTCACACCTGAAAGGAGAAAAGTAATTCATTTTATGCCATTCCATTCAAATTTGCTTCCTCATATTCCCAAACATACTTAAATTCGCTGTAGCTAAAGGTTCCTTCTCCCAAGAATACCAACCTACATTGGCAAAAGTAATGCCAACCTTCTTACTGAATCATGATCTCCCATTGCACCTGTGACGTCAACAATGTAACAGAAGTCATCATAACCAACAAAGAGGTATCTGATGTGGAACTTTTAATTCTATGTACGTTTATCTCGTATACATGTTATTCAAAATTTATTTTTAATTTTAATTCCTTCTTTACGTTTTGAGTTATATGGCTTACGTGGAAAATTTTTTGTCGTATGTCTAATTGTAATTTTCATTTGAGGATATTTTGCTTTCAGCTATTTTCATGCTTTCCTACATTATTTTAATGCTGATGATGATGATAATAATAATAACAATAATGTTGGTCGTCAGATTTCATTCTCCTATATTTACAGGCTCTGTTTCTTATAAACCAGTAGTACTTTAAGGTAACATGGAAATATTCTGGTGCATAATTTTAGTCACATGACTAAATAATGATGTTTCCAACATAACTCATATTTAACAACTTCAGCTTTAAGAGACTATTTAGTAACAATCTCTCAACAGAGCGTTTGGTGTAGCAGTAAGTCACTAGACTCGTATTTGGGAGATCTTCGGTTCTAATCTTGGCCGACACACCGTCCATCATGATAGAATTTCTGTAGTTTTCCTCAGGTTCTACAAGCAAATATCTGAATATTACCTCTATTAAGCCATGATCGCTTCATACAAAATCATTTTCAGTTCTCTATTCATGTTACTATTAGACGCTCTATGTTCTAGAAACTGACAGTATTGTAAAATAAACATAGAGACATGTCTCTATTATGTTACAGATTGGAACTGCAAGGACGTGAAATCCTGTAGAGTCTGAAGACAAACTATGTTGGCAATATGGCGTCTTATCCTCCGGAAGATAGTTATGTCAAATCGACTTTTATTTCTTCAAAAGTGATATAAGTCCACCACGAAATTTCGAGCCGAGGCTGGTCTTCAGAATGGAGAGTGTCGTGAATTATATGCCTTTTATATTTATTCTGGTTGTGAAGAACGAGTGAGATTTAACAAAGTGTCCACCAGAGTGCAGTTATGATGTGAAAGAAGACTGTGAAACCCTCGCTCTTATTACGTCACATCCGTTTGTGTTTGTTTTAGTCAAAGTAAGTATCCTAAATTTTTTAAGCCTAGTTATATATATATTTTCATGAAACATATTCGTAAAGATCCTTTTCTGTAAATTTTTAACCGGAAAGTGCTTCAACGAAAAGTTCATTGTGACACGTGACCTTGGAAATGTATCACCTACGACTTTCTCATAATTACAGTTACACGCAAATTACTGGTAGTTAAAAGTGATTTGGTAGAATAATAAGATTCTGGTGATGTGAAGGAAGACAGTTCAGCATGAAAACGAGTTTGTACGGTGATTTCTATGCCTTAAAACAAGATTTTTTTCGAGATACGTTGCATCTGCTGTGAAACCTACATGGGGTCGCCATTTAACAATATATATAGTACGTTTCAAAGTGTAGTTTCCAATATTAAATTGGATTTTAGAGACATAGGATGGGATGGTATGGATTGGAATGATCTGGCTCGGGATAGGGACCAGTGGAGGGCTCTTGTGAACACTGTAATGAACCTTCGGGTTCCATAAAATGCTGGGAAATTCTTGAGTAGCTGCAGAATTGGCGGCTCCTCCAGAAGGGCTCAGCTCCATGAGTAAGTAAGTAAGTAAGTAAGTAAGAGCAATGACTGAAGTTAGATTCATGGTGAAATTAAGAGAAAAATGAAATCTGGACGCGCTTATTTTCTACTTCAAAATTTTATTACCTCTTCTGCTTTCCATAATATTTTATATAAGAGAAGAAGATACAATTTTTGTAGATATGGGCTGTTTGAAGCATCTTACAACACAATGAGGATATTCTTGGTTTCATAGCGGCTCCCAGTATTATGGTAATGAAGCCATGAGACCTAAGATGAGCGGGGAATGATGCTAGGATGAGACGACAAGGAATGTCGTAACATGTTAAGGGTGTGAGTGACTTATAAGACGGGTTGTATATTGAATGAATGGCTTTATTGACCACTTATTCACACAATTCAGGACTACAGGCAGTACAGCGCTACCGCTGATCTACACACTTTCCTGTTTACTGTTACACACGCACTAGGGTTCTGAGCCTTCACTAACCGTATCCTGGCAACGGATTTACCACAGTTTCACTGTTACTTCAAATCACACATGAAGTCTTCTTTCCACGGTTTAATTTCTTTATTTTGTCATTATTCTAAAACTGCCAATTCCGAAGACTGGACTCAGTTCAATTCCTCTGTTCCCAAGTTCATATCCTGGCAGGTTGGCGTTTCGAAACTTAACTCGAATCTTCTCAACTGAAATCTTCTTTATAACCACTTTGCAATTACCACATAGAAAAAAACAGCCTCTCTGTTGTTAGGAAGGCCTGTTTACAGCGCTGTTGCATAGCAACGAAAGTTACCTGATCGTTGCTTGCGCAGTCATTGCCGCGGCAATATGTTTATCAAGCCGTTGACTAGTAATAATCGTCTATTCTGACTTCATTATTCCGGCTTTCTGGCGTCGTGTCACAATATATACAGAATTCTGTTGAGGAAATGACTTGAGAGACGTTCACTTGTAAGATTAAAAAGTAGATCAAACGGGATTACATTAAGGTGGATCTTAGGGTGAGAGTTTATGATGGTTGGAAGTGAACAGAGCTGAATGCTTTCCAGTTCAGCGGTGACGAGCCTTCTGTTTCTCTTGTCACTGGTTGGCCAGTGTAATTAATGGAAAGGTGTAATATCTTTATTTATAAATTGTAATGGAATTCGCCGCCTTCTGTCGAAGACAAATATTTGCTCTTATGTCCATGAAGGCTGTTCTGCTCTCTGTCCCTCTCTCTCGCACTCTATCTCTCTCTCACTCATACACACAGAAGCAACACGGCGATATGCTTACATTGCAATATTGAAGAGTTTTCTTGTTTTTCGACCACTGTCGGACGAATTCGGTGAAGAATGCCGAAATTATACGGATCACCACCGAATACAAATTGTTCTTTATGGTCGCTTTCGCTTGTATACAGGGTGTTTCACGACTTTAGGGCATAACTGCAGGAGGTGATTTCCTAGGTCTTTGTGATCAAAAAAGTTCATATAAACATGTGTCCGATTTTGGACGGTTACGGAGTTATGACCGTTTTTTCATTCCCGTACACGCCCTCGTGTGAACCGCGTCNTGTTGCGGCCGGCGGTGGCATTTTCGAAAATCAGCTTTAAGCACCAATCAATTCAAATTAAATGTAATTTAATGAAGTTTACATTCATACTTTAAATGTATCATGTATTGTGCTGGTTTATTATTTTGTTCCGTTTATTGTCAGTAATCGTTACCTTCTATTCTGAGTTTAAAACGGCCATAACTCCGTAACCGTCCAAAATCGGACACATGTTTTATGATCTTTTTTGATCACAAAGACCTAGGAAATCACCACCTGCAGTTATGCCCTAAAGTCGTGAAACGCCCTGTATACTGTACTACCCTAGATTTTTCCTGAGGGGCAAAAGAATTTTAGACAAAAAAAAAGGAAAGGACCAGACAGTATTATCTGCTTCGAAACCGAGAACTGAATTCTGGCTCCCGGTATAAGATCAAGGACCGGTATGCCCTCAACAATAAATTTAGACATGACCTTGACAAACCTGTTTTACGCACTTCTGTCTCTAATTCAATTTTGTTTACAATTTCTTCTTAGTTTAAAATAATATTATCACGCGCAAAAGTGACTAAAAGTGATAATTACGATTATATTTCATTATTCTCATTTACAACTCATCCTGCCACTCGGCGTTAGACACGTTTGTTTAATTGGACAAATCGATAAAGGAATCAGTTAGCTAGGTCTATAAAATTTATTGTAATAATGGCTCTATCTTCGGGGATATGAAACCGTGTATTCCATTAAAAATCAGCCGACATTTTGGAGGAACATGTCGCCTTTCTCGGCTTATTCTTCAACCCTGAAGATGGAGGCGACATGTTCTTCCGAAACGCAGACTACACCGCGTTATATCCCAGAACATAACCACCGTTGTGAGACCCTCAAACCCTTCATCTATTTAAACAGCCAGCATACGGCTCATATAAGGAATTTTCTACATTTTATGATATAATTTAATTCAAATCTGAATCAAATTCGGGAGTTGTACGTCTAACGTTAACAATTGTTACGTATATAAACCAAATATTTCGACACTGCTCTCCGATTTCTGTACTACTGCACTGCTACATTACGCCTGCATTTAGATTACCCCAACTCTTATAGATATGGGCATCTTAAAGATGCCTCCGTGGAAGAGAGCTCTTCTTGAGAAGCAGCAGTTTTGAAGTGCTGAAGAGATTACCCGAATTTTGTAAAACCCGAGTTTTCAATACTGTATTCACAAGAGCCCACTATTGGCCCCTGCCTTGAGCAACATGAATCTAATCCAAGGTTTCATGTTATACTTTTTTTTTAATTCTCTTAGTGTGGGGTGGAGTCCAACTGGGTCCACTCGGCACGGTCGGCACTGATTGGCTTATTGTAGCATGCCCCAGGTGATTATGATGATGGAGAATTTCGGTGGAATGAAGATTGGTAGGGAAAACTAAAGTACTAGGAGAAAACCCACTCAAGCTCCACTTTATCCACCACAAATCCCACTTGACCAGACGCGGAATCGAACCCGGACCGCCGCGGTGGGAAGCCAGCGACTAACCGCTTGAGCTATGGCACGGCCTTCATGTTGTATTTCTTAATATATATATATTTTAGAATAATACTACGGTCTACATAACCATTTAACTCAATATAAATTTCAGCATTTGAATGTCAACGTGTTTAGAAAATCGATTAGGTCTAAATGTGATGAAAGGAATAAGGAGATTTTCTCAGACGTTTATTAAGAAGATAACCACGTAAATTTATTTACTAGTCCCCACATTCTAGCACACTCTTATTTAAAATTAATAAAAGACTACTTTTTAGATATTTTATTTAGAAGATATAGTAATAGTTACGCCGATCACAGTGGCCGCTCCGTCTAAGGCATGAACTGCCCTCGATCGCTAGAACGCTGGGATCGTGGGTTCAAATACTACTCAAGTCATGGATGTCTATGTGCGTTTATTCAACTTTTGTGTTGTTCTGTATGTAGGTAGCGGCCTTGCGAAGGACTAATCCCCCGTACAAGGAGTCTTACAGACTGTGTGTAGTATTAAGGAGTGAGAAAGCGTCCAAGATCCAGCAAAGAGCTGTAGAGCCAGAGATAGATAGATAGATAGATAGATAGATAGATAGATAGATAGATAGATAGATAGATAGATAGATAGATAGATAGATAGATAGATAGATAGATAGATAGATAGATAGATAGATAGATAGATAGATAGATAGATAGATAGATAGATAGATAGATAGATAGATAGATAGATAGATAGATAGATAGATAGATAGATAGATAGATAGATAGATAGATAGATAGATAGATAGATAGATAGATAGATAGATAGATAGATAGAAAGGATTGAGTTTGTCTTTATTCGATTAGATTAGATGGGTAGTTAGGTAGGTATGTATGTAGGTAGGTAGGTAGGTAGGTAGATAGAGTTGCATTACGATAACACATCTAATTTTTCGGGTGGCGGCATCATTGCAGTAAAGCGGTTACCCAGGCAAAGTTCGAAGCTTTTAAGATGCAAGGTGGAAGAAGCATTTTGTGAACATGGAAGGTAGCTCAGAATCTATTTAATGCACATTCGTGTGCAGTCGGCAAGCAATAGTCTACCAAACTCTTGAGTATGTGTGAAAATATACCACAAGCCCTGATGTAGTTCAGTGGATGGCTTTTATGAAAACAGTAATGAAACTTTGATTCCTTTAAAATTTTGAAAATTTACTGAGTAGTTAAGAAAATTTTAGTTTCTCAGGCAGGGATATATTCCACACAGTTTGTGGTTTTTATTTTAATTTCATTGTACTTTTAATTACACGTTTATATTTCGAAGATGTGGTTGTATACATTTTTTTTTTTTTTTGCCTTGGCACTACAGCCCCAGTGGGCCTAGGCCTACCTCCATGAACTCCGTTCACTT